TTAAGGTGACTCTCCACGAGGGCTGCCATTGCTTCCGACGATGGTGGTCGCCTGGCTGTGTCTGACCTATAGTAGGACTCTGCCGAATCAGAAGGAACATATATAATGTCGTCTGGCTGCAGCCATAACACAGCAATTTTGGGGGTTTTTTTGACCTTTTTTTTTACTTTTGGAAAAAAAGGTTTCAAACATATAATAAAAGCTGACCAATGTAAGCCGCCCCCGCCCCCCCAAGGGAGTGTTATATGTTATGGGGGAGACTCACAAACAGCTGAGCCAATGCTAAAGAGTCAATTACGTCATTTTTGGTTTGTCCCAGAGATGTACCTTAAGTCAGACACAGCCAGGCAACTTTTTATTTTGCTCGGGGTTACACTTTAAATACTTCCAAGCCAAGGCATCAGCGTGACCAGCAGGAAGCAGGAAACCAGCATCCTAAGCAGAGTTTAGCAATGGCAGCCTCCATGCTTCACTATAAAACCAGACAGGAAGGTGACACGGTCAGCTTTGGAAATTTGATGTGTTCTGATTTTGTGGCCGGACGCAGCAGATACCTGAAGAGCCTGTTCAGAGAGATTTTAGGCATCAGCTGTGCCCAGCCAAATATATCCAATAAAGATAACAGAAACCATTTCCTGTTCTTAAACATACCGTGTCTGGAAACATGTCCTCGTGGAGATGGAAGTAAGGTTTTTATGTAAATGAGGGGGAGGAGTCACATGTTTATACCGCTGTATTAAATGTATTTACATAAACAAGACACAGCAAGTTCTCCCATTGCCCCCCCCCCCCCCGCCCCCCATGTCCATCTATTCCGACAGGTCACTGAAAGAGATCTCCAACCACACAGATACCAACAAAAGAATTTATTGAAAAGACATAGCTTGGGTTACATGGATGTATTGGAAGCGAATGTTCTGGTGAGTGCGTTCAACATCGTGGTAAAACCGTTACAACATTCCTCACCGTAAACCATTATATGTCCCTTCCCAGAGCTCAATCCGCAGAGCTGGTTTTAACAGAACAATGTAAACGGGTTACGCCGTGTACTGGAACCAGGCGCCGTGGCGGTTCACTGTGCGAGAACTCGCCATCGATCCTCCACCCACCCAACAAAAACCTTAACGGTTCCCCGAAGGAGAGTCGGAGATCCGGGACTGGAAGATCAGCCACGTCCTTTAAGGAGATAAGCCAAAGTAATAATCAGAGTTCAGCCAGATTGAGGGATCAGAGAAATGAGGAAATGGATCCCCAAATCACTGCGAATCAGTGGAACCAAAGATTCCACCTGGGGCTGAACTGCTATACGATCAGAGACTCCACACATTGCATTAAATAGATACAAATAACAATTCATTTCGTTCACATACAATAAAAGATGTAAAGAACAAGATAGATTACACAACAAGAGAGGACAGAATACAAAGTTACTTCACTGATGGTGTAATCTAGATTGTTACTTAGATCTTATTTTCTATATGAATAAAATTAATTATTATATGTATATATATTTAATGCTATGTGTGGAATCTCTGATCATAAAGCAGTTACTCCCCTCGACTATATTCACCATGGGCGGGACTTTACTAGCGTTATTTGTAGGAACATAAAAGTTCAAGGTGCAGTTTTTAAAAAGGATCACAATTTCTCATACATGAACCTTACAATTCTCAGCCGATCTAGGAAATTGCATGCGCATATTTAAGACAATGGCAATTCTCTAATTTCAACTGATCCACTTCTTCGCAGAATCATTTTCTCATTTCAGACTGTTACTGAATTCATGAACTTTGTCATTAATCTTTGACTGTAGATAGCTAAACCCCACCCAGAAAGGTGAGGTACATGGCTGACCTAAAAAGGTGAGATACATAGACGACCTAAAAAGGTGAGATACATAGACGACCTAAAAAGGTGAGATACATAGACGACATTCTTTGTGATTCAGCACCTACAAGGACCCTCCAATCTCCCACAGTGACACTGTTTCAGCGTCCGGTATAACAGTACACGGCGTTAGGGGTGGAGAGCAATGAAAAATCAACCTCAATTTTGCCGTAACTCTGCTCTTCTTCTTTCACAGTCAAATAAAATAACAGAAAAGTTACTACGCAAACAGAACACACTTTTCCTTTGCATTCATTTAAACACCCAAAACAACAAATACAGGTTGTTATTTGGCGCTTCAGACCAGCCCCTCCGAACAGTCGCCGTGTGCATAGTACCATTTAGAAATCAACAGAATACAAAGAAAACAGAAATCGCTTTAAACTCCCCGCAGACAATTCTGTCCATACAGTGTGAATACACGGAACGCGTATGCCATACATCTTGTTTTTTTTGTTTTAATCCCAATCATTTAATGCAGTAAAACTTAGTTTGGTTTGTAACTTGGATTAGTTAATTCTCATCTGCTTAGCGTTGGACGGATTATGAAGGCCCAACATGCGTTACAAAAGGTTAATAATGAACAGATATGGCTGCGATAAACGTTAACCTAGTTAAATACATTTCTAATCCTATTAGCTGTACATTGTACCTTGATCGCTGTATATGTCGGGCTGTGCATTGAATTCTGATTATATATGAAACCTGGATCCCAAAATAATCTTCATCCAAAAAAGGTCCACAGCTTGGAGGACACGGTAACGAAATCTAGGCTTCAGTAGATTACAAATACAGTAAAGTGAAATTCCAGGAGCGAATACTTGAGATGTGACTAATACCGAGTTGTGGCATTGCCATTCAGAATTGGAAACATTTTCGGCCCAAATACCTTTTTTTTTTCAGTTCCAGTATTCGGAGAGCTCATTGAGCTTCAATGGCAATATTATCCAATCAATTCTCCCCCCAATTCATCAGTAAGCGGGTCGTATAGAAATATTGAAAGAAAGCCGCGGCCCATTACTGAAGACGCGGCCCATACATACCGAAGAGTCAGCACCGAGAAACACTGCAGACGTTACACATAATATTTTATCTTATATATTCCAAAATTTTGTAAAAGGTTATATTGAAAAAAAGTCTTTCCTCGCTACTATATTATTAAATATAAATATACTTTTTATGATTTCTGAGCTTTGGCAGGACTGGGCACAATGTAAAAGGCATCTCTCACCAGCTTCCTACCTGGCTAGGGGTATGAAAGGTCCTACCGGTGGAGAACGCCCATTGGTCCTTCATTGGAGCTGCATGTAAGCAGATGAAAGAAATGTGGCACCAAGACTTCAGTACTGTTAGGGGGATTGGTTGGCCGATTGGTATAAAAACAAAATGAAAAATATTTACTTTCTACTACAAAAAAAAACAACAAATTGGCTTGTCTAAGGCGACCCTCAAAATATTTTTTGGAGTTAGAAAAAAAAGTGGAAATAAGAAAACTGGTTGACGGTGATATTTGACTTCTTCTGAAGTCCACCATATGGCGCGATGGGTTATAAACTGCATCTTCAAGCAACGCTTGCCCCAAGTAATTTCATTATATTTTTTTTGGCACAAATCTCAAACACGGCTTTCAGGTTTTTTTGTTAACTGCGAAAACTTTTTGAAAACGAAAGGAAAGAAAAAAAAAAGACTTTACAGACATGGAACAAGGTGAAAATGGGGGAAGAAAGAAACAAAAACAAAAAAAGTAACAGAGGTGAGAAAAACTTGTTACAAAATATGATAGATCTTGTAGATCATTCTGAAGAGGGGGAGGGGGACTAAGGAAATGGATAAAATGGAGACTCGGGGGAGAAAGAAAATGTTACAAATATTATAGATCTTGTAGTACATTCTGAAGGGGGGGAGGGGGACTAAGGAAACGGATAAAATGGAGACTCGGGGGAGAAAGAAAAAAAAAGTAACCGAGGTGAGAAATACCTTGTTACAAATATTATAGATCTTTTAGTACATTCTGAAGACAAGAAGGGGGAGGGGGGGACCAAAGAAATGGATAAAATGGAGACTCTGGCACCAAAATCGGGGGGCGCTCAGAGTGAGTATAGAAAATACAAAGGCGCTATTCCATAGACGATATGAAAAATAAAAATGCCAAGAGCATTAGGCTAAAAACTAAGAGAGTTAACTGCCCTAAAATGAGCAAAAAGAAAGAAAATGAAACCTTCACAAATATAGCATGTGTGTGTGTTTTTTTGTTTTTTTTTCTTATAAAAATTTCTCAGTAATACTCTTAAATGGAGATTCGGCTTTAAAATTTATCACGGAATCAATTAAGAATACAATTAAGATATAAACATGCCAAAAAATCATTGCATGACCGCATACGTCCCAAAACAAAAAACGACCGTCAAGCAGAACCCTTCTCTCAATCCATTTTGGATTCCAATGTCCTGTAAAGGTGATTAAGTATTAATGATTAAGGTTTTTGATTACTAAGACTTTTCCTGGATAGCCCTCACCCACCGATAGAAAGGCATGTTATGGCATTCGAGAACGCTCTACCGGAGTACCTTCATATAAAGAAATGCCAAACTACTGCCACCATTCCTCAATAAAAAATAAAAAAAAACGTCATCGACGTGTCGCAGCTTCACACGGGAGACTCCACATCTTGTATCGATATGCGTGTTCTACATGGCAGCAAGCAATTTGGCTTCAGACCGAGTTCAGAGCGTCGCCACGTACCTTTAACTCTGGATCTGATATGGCGATATAAATGTAAGATAAGATTTGTGTCCTCGGGGGAAACAACCTACTGACCCGTAAATAGTAGGAAGACCGGTGACTTGTTTTTTTTTTTTGGTCTTACTCAACATTTTCTTTCCTGCTCCTAGCCGAACGTGACATTGTAATATAGTGTTACGGAGCCGCGAGGACTGTGCTCATCGAGTTTTATCTTATAAAGAGGCGTGGCCCGGGGGTTTGTTTTCTCATTGGGCAACCTCTACCATTCAATGAGAACAAGATTATCGTTTAACCCTTCAAAAAAAACACAATATTAACCCTAGAATTTACAGGCGCCTAATTTTTCATGTCATAGTTTTTTTTTTTTTTTAAAAGCTGCGACCTTAAAATTGTAGGGTTAAGCCTTTTATGCCCCCTGAAGGTCCCATTCAGAGTCTCTGTGTTCACGCTGGACTCAGCAGGATGGGGTGTACAAACTGTGGATTGATGTAGGAGAAGCCTTCGAAGTCTGCCTGATCGATGTTGGCGATGACCAGCTGGTCGGGGGGTGTCAGCACGGGTTGTCCCCTTGTGAAGAACTTGTCAAAGTTTTCGGCTCCTTTGCCACACTGCATATGAGAGAAACGTCACATAGTTACATAGTATTTGAGGTTGAATAAAGACATTAGTCCATCAAGTCCAACCTATTGGGATCTCATTCTAGGAGTACCTGTACCCCTATATATTACCTGTACCCCTGTATGTTACCTGTACCCCTGTATGTTACCTGTACCTCTGTATGTTACCTGTACCCCTGTATGTTACCTGTACCCCTGTATGTTACCTGTACCCCTGTATATTACCTGTACCCCTGTATGTTACCTGTACCCCTGTCTGTTACCTGTACCCCTGTATGTTACCTGTATATTACCTGTACCCCTGTATATTACCTGTACCTCTGTATATTACCTGTACCCCTGTATATTACCTGTACCCCTGTATATTACGGTCCCTTAAGAAATCGTCCAAAAGTTTCTTGAACAATTCCACATTATTAGCTGAGATCGCCGCCTGTGGCAGTGAGTTCCAGACCCTAACTGATCTTACTGTGAAGAACCCCCTTCGCCCCTTGTGCAGGGATTTTTTTCCCACCAATTTTAGGTGGTGGCCTCTAGTTTTTGTAACGGAGTTAATTTTAAACAGTTTATCGCTAATGTTGCCGCCACCATTGAACATCTTGTACATGGAAATCATATCCCCCCTTAATCTCCTAACATTGGTTGGGTTAGAGACGCAGCGGTGGAATGACGGCTCCTACAAACCACTTTCAATGGGAATCCGATTGCTTAGGATCTGGATGTTCCCATGATTCAGCTAAGGAACAAGATGGGGCTCATAGAACGGCTCCGCTAGGACCTGCCGCCCATTATTTCTCACAGACGACCAATATTAAAAGGTTAAAGGTCAGCTCTACGAACAAGCCCTTGCAAAGCTAGGCGGAGTCATTGCCTCACAGCTGGGCACCCCAATTATATGTTTATTCTATATTTGTAAGATTCCAGTGGAAGAAGGCGACTCCACCATTTGGTTTTGTAATGACTAGGGATGCACCGAGTATCGATATCGGCGCCGATACCGAGTATTTGGGCGAGTACTCGTACTCACCCAAATGCACCAATGCCTAGCCCGACACTTCCTGTATCAGGAAATTGGGCAGAGCGTCATTACACGCTGCCCGGTTTCCTGGTTGGCCAGGAAACTGCTCCATGCTCCCTCTTCACTTGTGATGAGAGAGCATGGAGCCGGCTTGCTGGCCAATCATGGAAGCCGGGCGCCGTGTAATGACTCGCCGCCTAGCTTCCTGATTGGTCAGGAAGCCGTCCAAACAGGAAGCTGGATGGCGAGTCATTACTATGCGACGAGAAAGCATGGAGCCGGCTTGCTGGCCAATCATGGAAGCCGGGCGCTGCGTCATTACATGGCATTCTGATTGGCTGGGAAGTCGGCTTCATGCTGCCTCGTCATCTCATGACGAGGGAGCATGGAGCCGGTCTCCCGGCCAATCAGGAAGCCGGGCACCGCGTCATTACACGGCGCCCGGCTTCCATGATTGGCCGGCTCGATGCTTTCTCTGCCCGGCTTCCATGATTGGCCAGCAAGCCGGCTCCATGCTTTCTCGTCGCATAGTAATGACTCGCCATCCAGCTTCCTGTTTGGACGGCTTCCTGACCAATCAGGAAGCTGGGCGGCGAATCATTACACGCTGCCCAGCTTCCTGTTTGGCCCGGAAGCCGGCTCCATGCTTGCTTTCTGGCCAATCAGGAAGCCGGGCAGCGTGTAATGACTCGCCGCCCAGCTTCCTGATACCGGAAGGTCGGGTATCGGGCTAGGCATCGGAGCATTTGGGCAAGTACGAGTACTCGCCCACATAGTTGCCATCAGTATCGGTGCATCCCTAGTGTGGACATTGCTCTCTGACTTACCTATAGACGGGGACAGTACAGCAAGAGGAATGTTTTTGTATCTCCGGTGCCTCGTATCGGGGGCCATCTTTGTCCTGGATGTGGGTGCGCGTTCTTTACAGAAGGCTTCCCGGAAACCCTGCCGGTGATCTCCCCGCATCCGGGGCTCTTATTACAGACTGATCGGTGTGCTCGGCTCTCTTCTGTTCATGATTTGCAGCGGGAATGAGAGCGGTGCAAACGCGTCGGAGATTCTTCAGAACAAACAATATTTGACTCCGAGATGAATTGTATTCCCCGATGACCGGTGAAGCGCGCGCGGCGAGGATACAACGCGCTCCGACCGAGATTCTTTGTAATCATCACACAAGGAACAAGGTCAGTTTGTTGTGCCGCAATCACCGCCGGCAAAGGGCTGTTTATGGCATTTCAGCATTTGCTCTGAATGAGAAGTTTTAGGTGTGAAATGTATTTGGAAGGCGGGACGTGTGGCCATGAAAACGTATCTATGTATTTACAGCATGCGGCAAGTATAGAAACAGAAATGTTGATCTGCCAGAAATCCAGAGAGCCCCCAACTTCCTGGAGTAAGCCGATAATACAGCGTCTCTGCTGCACTAAAATCCCTAGCAGTCTTGGCAGCCCGGCCCAGTTCTTCCCTGCTGAACTACAGAACTCCTCCCCCACTTCTTATCTTCATAACATAAGGATGACGTGTATTCCCCCATGTCAATCACTGAGCATAGTACAGGGGTGATTATAATGACACTGTGACCCCCCCTATTCTCCCATGTCAATCGCTGAGCATAGTACAGGGGTGATTATAATGACGCGGTGACCCCCCTATTCTCCCATGTCAATCACTGAGCATAGTACAGGGGGGATTATAATGACGCGGTGACGCTTACTCTCTCCCATGTCAGTTGCTGAGCATAGTACAGGGGTGATTATAATGACACTGTGACCCCCCTATTCTCCCATGTCAGTTGCTGAGCATAGTACAGGGGGGATTATAATGACGCGGTGACCCCCCTATTCTCCCATGTCAGTTGCTGAGCATAGTACAGGGGGGATTATAATGACGCGGTGACGCTTACTCTCTCCCATGTCAGTTGCTGAGCATAGTACAGGGGTGATTATAATGACGCGGTGACCCCCCTATTCTCCCATGTCAGTTGCTGACTACTTGCTGACTCCTTACAGTTTCCATCCGTCCCCCCACATGCTGGCTCTTCATACCTCTATATAAAGAAGAGGTGTCATCACACATCTCAGCATGAGAGATGAGCCGGATGTCTCAGCGCTGCCGTGATGAACACGCGGGACGCGTCTTATATTAGTCACATCCAGGAGGAGCTCAGCGGGTGTACGACAATTATTCATCGCTATGCAAAACCCAATCAGCACAGATAAGGTCCAACCAATGTCTAATATGAAAGACCTAAAGCACGCAGGGCCGGATTATCTGTGCACAGCAACCACTTCAGGGCTAAAGCACCTTCCCTTCCTTCTAAAGCACTCGGGGGGCCCAAAGACTTGTGACTGCGGTCATGGCAGAGCGGGTTGGTTACCACGACAGTAGAAGTGATTGGGAAGATTCGGGGAGACAACGCGATGTAACCGCCTTGGAACGTGGGATGATTGTTGGCGCTCGGAGCCATGGAGCGAGTATCAGCAACACAGCAGAATTCGTTACATGTTCAGGAGCGGCTCATTGTTAAAGTGTTTAAAGACCGGACTGTCAGCCGAAAATCTGGGTCTGAGCGTGCGAATTGTGGCCGTCAGCGACTAGTCAATGTTAGGGCAGAACGGGGGAGGGGCAAGACTGGTACAAGATTCTCCCATGTCAGTTGCTGAGCATAGTACAGGGGGGATTATAATGACGCGGTGACCCCCCTATTCTCCCATGTCAGTTGCTGAGCATAGTACAGGGGGGATTATAATGACGCGGTGACCCCCCTATTCTCCCATGTCAGTTGCTGAGCATAGTACAGGGGGGATTATAATGACGCGGTGACCCCCCTATTCTCCCATGTCAGTTGCTGAGCATAGTACAGGGGGGATTATAATGACGCGGTGATGCTTACTCTCCCATGTCAGACTTGGTTTCTACTTGCTGACTCCTTACAGTTTCCATCCGTCCCCCCACATGCTGGCTCTTCATACCTCTATATAAAGAAGAGGTGTCATCACACATCTCAGCATGAGAGATGAGCCGGATGTCTCAGCGCTGCCGTGATGAACACGCGGGACGCGTCTTATATTAGTCACATCCAGGAGGAGCTCAGCGGGTGTACGACAATTATTCATCGCTATGCAAAACCCAATCAGCACAGATAAGGTCCAACCAATGTCTAATATGAAAGACCTAAAGCACGCAGGGCCGGATTATCTGTGCACAGCAACCACTTCAGGGCTAAAGCACCTTCCCTTCCTTCTAAAGCACTCGGGGGGCCCAAAGACTTGTGACTGCGGTCATGGCAGAGCGGGTTGGTTACCACGACAGTAGAAGTGATTGGGAAGATTCGGGGAGACAACGCGATGTAACCGCCTTGGAACGTGGGATGATTGTTGGCGCTCGGAGCCATGGAGCGAGTATCAGCAACACAGCAGAATTCGTTACATGTTCAGGAGCGGCTCATTGTTAAAGTGTTTAAAGACCGGACTGTCAGCCGAAAATCTGGGTCTGAGCGTGCGAATTGTGGCCGTCAGCGACTAGTCAATGTTAGGGCAGAACGGGGGAGGGGCGAGACTGGTACAAGACAACAGAAGGGCCACAGCGCCGTGTCAGATTCCTCGCACCACCTTTCACCATCTCGTGGAGTCACCAGGCGGCCCAACCAAGTACTGATGGGGGGGGGAGGGGGATTTATCAGAACTGGAGCAGCCGCGCACGGCAACCAATCAGCTTCTCTCTTTCATATCTTAGCTGGACAAACAGAAGAGAGAAGCTGATTGGTTGCCGTGCACGGCTGCTCCAGATTCTGATAACTTCCCCCCTTGGTCTCGGGGGTCGGCGTTTCCGCTGAGCACACTCACCACTTTGGGTTTGAACGGCGGCTGGATTTCTCGGTTCTCCAGCTTCTCCCAGTCGATCCTCCTGAAGAAGGCGTGCTCCCGGATGTCCCTCTCACCCTCCGGCCCGCAGCCCAGCCGCTTCACCGGGTGTTTCGTCATCAGCTGGAAAGAAACATAAAAGCTTGAAGTGTATATGGAAGCAAAGAGCAATCCACGTCTCTGATCCTCATCGGTGTATCGGTGTAATATGTGCAGACTGGAATCAGTTACATTGTATCCAGCTATCTTCTGTAGGCCTACCCCTAGTGTGACCACACTGCTCCTCTGTACATACAATACACTTAGCGAGTGTTGTCACCCTAGGACAGTGTGTTATTGGCGGGATCACCACGTGAAAGAGACCATGACTCGGCGGGTCAGGACGCTGCGAGGGCTCGGCGGGTCAGGACGCTGCGAGGACTCGGCGGGTCAGGACGGTGCGAGGACTCGG